AGACCTTTACACGGGGAAAAAACTCAACTATGTTGCTAAATCATCTAAACGATTCTCTCTGGAACATCCACACAGTATTCTTTCAAACTATTGCGAACATACATCAGGCCTTAGGTTACACGTTAAGTAAATATGTGTCAACTGGCTATTTGTAACAGCTCCCTGGGGTCAGATCAGCCTTCGGCATGAAGAGCATTAAACCAGCACCTCCGTATGTCTGTAGAGTCTTCACTGCCTTACAAGCCATCCAACAAATGTCAGCCTCATTGATTCTGTAATTATTAAGCATGAAGAAGTGATGTGTCTGTGCTGTCCCTGAAAATCCTCATAAAAATATTAGCTATCAACCATGTCATACTTCAAACAGATGGCACAGAGAGAGCAAGGATTTGTGTTGTTATTCTGCATTATAAGAGAGATTAGATGTTTTTAAGGGAGGAGGGCGGCAGAGAAAAAAGCATGAATGATTCTGAACAACAAAAAGAGAATTAAAGAGAGATTGGACTTTACATAACATTTGAATAAAGGCAGACACCACAATGCAAAACTAATAATAAGAGAAAGCAATGGGAGTAATTTAGGCAGAAAGAGAAAGAAACAAAGGAGGCTATTTTTCCAACAATGTCTAATCTCCATGCGGACGCCTGTCTGCTATCGACCCAGATAACACTGCAGGCTGTGTATCATGAGATTTAGGGCAAAAGGTAAACAGGAAATCAAAACAATCTAATTCTGTTTGAGGGTAGAGTGAAAAAGAAAATTGATGTATTGTCCAACCCTTCAGTGTTGCATCTTTCATTTAGTCTCCCATAAGTCACTCCTTCAAAGCAGGCTTCTGTCCCAACATGACCCATACTCAAAACCACTGATAAGTGTGTGTTAGCACTGATTTTGTGTGAAGGAGAAGTAAATTGTACTCTTATTCTCTGTGTAGTAATATTACATTAGGGAGAGGATTCTGTAAGGTTATGTGTCATATTGAGCTATTTTCTAAAGTGGAAATAGTTACGTGCTTTAAACTGGGGTGAAATTGATTCTTTTATCAACTTCTAAGAATAAAGTTGAAAATGATCCAATCCAAAATAGAAAGCCTACAACTGAGTAACAGTCCAGCTATTGGATTTTGTAAAAATACCTCACAGGGAAGCTTCACCGACCTAAGCAAGTGAGACTCATCACCTTGGGCCTTCTGAATGTGCGCTGGAGGAGATTTTTGGAAATATTATCATGAGGAAATTAAAGCTCTGAACAATTTGTTTTATTCAGAATGCAAAGCTCTCTAAGGCATTGCTCCTGGTTTGTGGTTATCCTTCTGGCGGGCAACAGCCATAAAATATTATGAATATGATAGAACCAACGTGGCACTGAAGGGGGAGAGAGGGGATCTGGGTCATAGAGGAAAGGCATACATTTTAAAGCCATCAACTGCACATTGAATTCTATTGAATGGCAGCATATAAAGACACTGAAACAGACATTGTGCGAGTACATATGTGTGTGTAACAGGGTACCGGAAAGTGTGTATATAAGTGCAAGAGTAAGAAAGCTGCTTAGAGTTTGAAGCACCTAATTTTCTGAATAGATCCAAGAACTCGTTTGGTTTTAAACCTACATAGTTCCCTCAGAGAAGCTTCATACATCAACATTGCTATAGCTCAGGAACTCACATGTCAACACACACAAATCGGAATTTACCAAATGTGTTTTTTAATCCCCCTTACCCATATATATCTCTCTCTCTAACATAAACACTAAATGGCATGAACACAAACACAGACTTGCATACAAAAAGTGAGGGCTGCCCAAAACCACCAGTAACCCAAACAAAGTCCAAGGTCAGCAGAGTGGGCTCACTGAGCTGAAACCAGCAGCCCTGGCTTTCATTAGCAGGAACAGAATCAGCAGAGGGATGCAGGGACACATGGGATGAGGTTACTTTAGCTAGCTGTGTTTATCTGAGTGAGACTGGCCAGGACCCAACTCTGGAATACAAAACACTCCAAACATTGTGACAGCATCTATTGTTGGTCCAAATATCAAACCGTCAAATCATTTTAACAACTGAGTGTCGTTTTTGCACTGCTGAAACAGACTGAGTAATTAAACAGATTTTACAGCACTGTTTCAAGTGTGTGTGTGTGTTTTGTGAACAGTATCCGTATCCGTCATTCTGTGTGTAGCATTAAGCAGGCCATGTGGAGCTCTGCCTCGAATGGTGCCATGAGCGTGTGACACTGTCACAGGTCTAATGGAAACCAGGAATAAAAAATCAGCAGGCATCCTCAGAACTAAATGTGTCATACAAACAGCACATGTATGTGTGCACACACACGCACACGCACACACACACACACACACACACACACACACACACACACACACAAGATTAATGGCACCCCTCACCCCTTGAAGCTTTTATCACACCTATTACACCCCTGCTGTTCTTCTTTTCTTGACATAAATCCTCTTTTGAATTAAAAACAGAACCAAAAACGTATTTGCAATTTGTTGCTACAAACAATACTATAATTAATAAAACAATAAACTGTAAGTAGTGTCCGATAACCAGGTCAAATTTTAGAGTAACCGTTTAATTCCCTGGCCCCCTTCAATCTTCCTACATCTACTGACACAAACTAAGCAGTGTCCATTTTTGTGTGCTTTAGCTATAAGCTTTTGTAACCTGCAGGAATTTTCCTGATAAATACAAGGAGAATCAATTCACTCAGCAGGAACAATTCAGGGTGTAGCATTTATACTCACAAATGTTTATTGGGCAAATGGTATGTATCAATAGAAACCTCAGGTTCCCTACAGTTTTTTTAGGAAATGATCAAAATGAGCATTACTGCTCTTTGAAGAAAGGATGATGTTTAAAAGTTGTTCAAAGCTGAAAATAATATGAGTAAGCTATCATAAAAGTGATATTTAGCCATGTTCTCCGCTTTTGCTTTGTCATCACATGCTCTGGCGATGTCAATAACAATACAAGGCTAACTATTTAGATATTTTTGCACCCAAGAGTGACTCAAAATGTGAAATGTAACATCCTCCTCCTCTTCCCCTTTGATGATTCTCTGTAAAGAACCAGGCATCCTCCCCATCATGGCAAAGGTCCGAGTGCTGTCCTGCCCATTATTCCCTCAGTAACACATATATATTTATACTGTATGTGTGTGTGTGTGTGTGTGTGTGTGTGTGTGTGTGTGTGTGTGTGTGTGTGTGTGTGTGTGTGTGTGTGTGTGTGCGCGCGTGAGTGGGTGTCATTACTCCTGCCCTCATCTGACGGTTTTGGGTTAAAAAATGTTATCATTAAAGGCTTTCCAGAGTAGCTATCACTCTCCCTCCAGTGACACCCTCACCAACAATAAATCAACTGCCTGAACCCTGTAGATCACATATTTGTCTGAATGTGTGTGTTTGTGTTATACATGTGTGCCCCAATGCAGCTGTACTCTGAGATGTGCATGAAGATGAACCTGCAGCTGTGAGAGAGTCACCGCGAGGATGAGCTCATTTTCTTTTGGTAAGATAGTTTAAAACAACACAGAGGAAACAAATGATACATGGTAAATTAAGACATATGCTGGAAAAAGCATTAAAGTGACACACTGTAAATAAATTAGGCTCCATGACTGGAGCCGGTAGTATTTAAGGTGGTCCGATAATGTAGTAATAATTAAAGCTGCCTTTCGTGTGATAGCTTGCAGTAAAATCACACTAAATAATATTGAAGTCCTAACACCAAAAACAACCCTGTCAGACCACTACAGATTAGTTTATGTCTGAATGGAGACACAGAGACAATTTCATCTCCCTGAGACCAAGCAGATAAATACTGCTCCCTGAAATAAATGGCTCCTGTGCAGCAGTGATGGCTCATTCTGTGATTGTTTGTGATTGTGTTGACACCCCCTGCTGGGCTGAAGACATCACTACCGCATGGAGAGCAAGCTCACTTCCAGCGACAATGTCCCTCATCCAATCCCTCTGCCACCCAGGCAACAATATACTGAAGTTAATGAAACAAGGAAATCTAGCTGATACCTTTCTCCACACCTGTGGCCTATATATGACTCCAGCACAGAACAAACACAAATATAGCAACAAGAGAAAAAAAGACCAAAAAACAATATACCAAACCCTCTCGTACTGTATATCCTAAATCTAAAGCACTTACTTATGTGTGCATGTGTATGTATGTTCACGCGCACTCTCAAGAGGAAGAGTCTAGACAGCTGTATCCCAGCCAGGTCTCTCCTTACTAAGGAGAGTGAGAAATATATACTGTGCAGCTGCCGAAGACACAGTCAACCCACAAAAGAGCTATTGTGCGCCCACAGCAAAACAATACAGCTTAGCTGAGCTATGAGAAAAAAAACCACTGGGATCAATAGAGAATTGCAATTAGCCCACATTGGCAGGAGCAGTGCCAGATTAGACACAGGATGTCGATTCCATTTCCTGCACTATCGGGCCCTCAAACTTAGTTGGCTCACTGTGTAATTGGAACAACACACACACAAGTGGGTAAGATGCTGAAGTGTGAAGGTGATGGTACATAAGATAAAAGTGATAAAGACAGTTAGAATGATAATAATGTTGGATTACAACCCAAAATCCAAGCACACATACAGTAAGTATCAGACAAGCATTTGGAAAGTAATATGCATGTAATATATCCATGTACAGTTTTTATCAAAAAGTATTCAAAGTGATCAGGTAATTCTGTAGTTCATTACAGCAGCTATTAGCAAGATCTTATTTCATCCACATGGTTCATGCTGCAATTCATGAATTCAATCTTTTCTTTTTTATTATATTTTACATCCGTCCTCCAGATGTGCTACGTCAACAATCTGAAAAATGTCTGCACATCATATAGAAAGACTTGTCACAACTCATGTTCCCTTACAGTGGCCCTGACGCAGAAAGGGAATCACTCACAATGTAAATCTCCTTGGCAAAAAAAGAACTGAATCTCCAATCAGAGGTCCTACCTTTCTGTATGCCCTGGCCTTGCAATACATCCCTTGAAATCAGCACAGAGTAGAAGCTTTGTGAAAAGCCAGCTCGGCAGGGACCTTTGGAAAGATGCTCCCCATTATTCCTCTGTAAGGAAGAAAATACAATGTAAGACATCGATAAACATGGATTCCATTGATTTCTGGTTTTCTGTTTGGCCCTCAGCCTTGGTGGCAAGCAGCATGTAGAGAAGCGGTTAGCAGAAAGATATTCAACAAGTTCATCAACTTCATGCCCCATAGGCGCACTACTTACTATGTATTCTCTTAGACAGTGTTAGTTTAAATGTGCAGTTTAAGTCGCTCCATAAAGAAAGCAGCCCTTGATGAAATAAGGACCCCTTGTAAAATACTGAGCTCAGGGTTAAGTGAGACACACAAAAAGAAAACTGCATGAATGCAGCAGAAAATTCTCTCTGTGTCTGTGCAGACACTCTGTTAAGTGGACTGCAGAAACTAGCAATATTGAGCACACACTGTTAAATTGTTTCGTCTGACCTATTACAGCTAATAACACCACACGAGTAAATATGCGCGTGCACAACACTGAGGGTCTGAATTGGTCCTATCATCTCTTGTTGGCTGAAAACACCGAAGTGAAACACATTTTCCAAATCTTCTAAAATCTGTATAAAAGGCCTGAGAACATTCGCTTTAGTGGGACGCAGCAGTGAAAGATTTAGCAGAGGACTTGTTCATGCCGTAAAGAAAAGCTCACCGGCGCCCACTTAATTCAGCTTTCAATGATTAAATGACGAGGAAGGGTTGAAAAGCACCTTCTTACTACTACTAAAGTTGAACTTATTTTCGGCTTATCGGTTTTATTTAGGGAACCTTTCGTTTGAAATATGCGAGATAACTCAATTCGTTTGAGAAAGCAGAAGAATAAATAGTGCATCATTAACTTGTAGATGATAACGCATCCGAGCGCTGAACACGCAGCGATCCGGGGGAAAACTATCAAGGATCAGAGTGGGCATACTTGATTGTTAACAGTTTCTTTCTTTTTTTTATTTCAACTCGTACTCAGTTAAATTCAGTAGGGGACCAATGAGCGTACTTGTGGAGGAATAACGACCGGCGCTGCGCTGCGCTACTGCTGCGGCACTGACACTGGACTCCATCCACTATAGGCTACATGACTTTAACACAGACTATATGCTATTACATTCAAACCCTCACATTACCAACAACTCCTCTACACAGAACAAGCTGTACTGAAATTAAAAATTAAAAAAAAAAAACTCACCCAGACTGTGTCACAAAGAAGGGCTGCTGTCAGGACCAGAGCGAAGTCAGATCTCATCGTGGCGAACAAGCAAACCAGGGCTGCCTGGACGAGGAACCAGAAAGAGGGTCGATAGGAAATTCTTCTTCAATAATTGTGTTATTCCCCCCTTTGCGGTCAGACTGTTCGTTACGTCCCTTCCCGAGCTCCGTGAGTGTGCTGCAGCTCTGCCCCGAGTTTCCCCGGCTCTCTCATCTGCAGGTGAGCGCTCAGCTCAGCACCAAGGCGCAGCCAGCGTCACTCTCCAACCCCTCCTATCACCCGGTGCAGGAAAACTCCACACACGCACTTAAAGAAACACTCGTTTAGGGGTTTGAATCAAACAACTCCACCCCTGACGTCTCTCCGAGGACCCCGAGATTTGAGTTCTTTCATATAGCTTCGTTTAGGGGATTGCTGTTAAATGCTGAAAAAAAGAAAAAGTCGCTGAACCATGAATCGACTCGCTGTGTCCAAATGTGTGGCAAAGTCGTTAACTATTAGCCACAAAACTTCCAGCAACGATTTACAAGGATGTAGCTAGCATTTGAAAATTCGATTATAAGCCTACATTTAATATTCTGCTGCCAACCAATCCTGAAGGAGTGAATACTTTTGTTTTATTCAGTTCAGCTCTCTATTAAAGTGCTTCTTCTTTTGTCCTGCTAGGCGTGCAACTTGTGTACCATGTGACCTGCTGCTAGTTAGAACAGGTAAACAAAACATCTAGAAAAATATGCTGCTTTGTGAGAGTATGATCATTGTGTGTTTTTCAACACTAAACAAATTCACAGATCGTGTTATTGTGTTACATGACTTTAACACAATGAACGATATGTTTCAGCATTGTATCCACTAATTACTTTGAATAATGAAACAGTGGATATTTGTGGTCTGTTGTTTGAATGCAGGTTTTATTATTGTATTTCTGTAATAAGTACTCTGATTTGAAGATTAAGTTGTATCATTGCCACAGCCTGTCATGCTGATAAGAACATTTATTTTTTGTATGTATAGTAATGTAGTTAGACTTTGATAATGAAAGAGGATTCTATCACTGCATGGCTCTTTCTTGATGACACACTGATTACTCAGCTCAGCGTTCACGACAAATAGCTATACAGTCTGAGGTACAGTCTGTGAAAGAGAAATTTTATCAAAAGGGAATTTTATTCAAAAGGTTTAAAATGTTTTACAAAGCAAACTGTACATAGATGTCTTCACGTAAGCTACTTTTTCCTGAAAGAAAAAATGTTTTCCACCTAAGAACAAAAACAGGGCCATGTCAATCTGCTACCCTCTATCTGTTAACACGCAGTTCAAAACGTCTTTTACCAGTGTCCTGTGACTACATACAATTTTACCCTTTTGGACTTGTGAGCATCTAATGACCTTCATATTTGGCTCCCTCTGATTGCCAGACTAGTGTCCATATCAGCCGTGTGAGCCACTTGCATATCAAAAAGAGTATGACTCTGCATAAGTGGGTGCTGCTCAGCCAATTTCCTCAATGTGACATCCAAGCATTGTACTACCGCTGTTATCCAAGTTCCTCAGTCCCAAGAGTGAGCTCCAACACTTCTATCCACTGTCAGTTTTATTTCAGATGGTCTAGGTGACATGGTTAGAATTTTTGTCCTGTTAAACGCTGTGATTGACAGGTCTCTCTCTGTCTGTGTTAAGTGTGTGCGTGCATGTCTGTGTGTGGCCAAGAGTTATGCCAGAGACACCCTGTTACCAGTCAGAATGTAAATGGATGGTTCTGCAAAATCCCAGATTACATTATTATGATTTATTCAACTGATTAATTCCCAAAATGTTCCCATTTGGAAACAGTGAGCACAGCTATGGTTTGGAAGCTGACACTCGGTCAAAAAAAAAGAAAAAAAAAAGTTTATTTTGTTGGAAAAAAATAATGTCAGGATACTGTAGAGTTAATTAAAAGACGGAAATGTTGCCACTGCTAAAACAAAACAAAAAAACATTCTTTGGAGATTTGTGGGCACAATGTGCTGAGCCATGAAAAACAGAAACCAGTCCTGCCATGTAAGCATGGCGTAAGTAGTATACACAGGATAGCAGATAAAAGGGAGGGGATGATTTACCTTCATGACGCGTTGGGAGCTGTGACTGCTGACTGCACACACCATGGTAAAGCTCATCATCTGCATTATCCACCAGCTCCCTATGGTTGTTTACTGCTTGTCCTGCAATATTAAGAAAAAAAAAACAGTTGAAACAATGAAGCAGAGTTCAATGTTTCCATATCTTGTTATGAAGACCATTTTGCCTTGAAAAACTGTACAAACTCACTGACAAATACATGTAATGTACAAGTGAATCCTTCCTGCTACCTCACTGGTGAGGCGATGGGACATCAGGATCGGTTCAGATGAAGGACACACTTGTGCATGTACTGCTACTGATGTTTCACTCTCTGCTGATTCATAGCATTGTGTACAGTTCAGTTAAAAGTTATCGTCACTGACAACGATCTCAAGCATTGTCTGTTCTGCAAGTCTACTTCAGGAGTGTTTTCAGTCTGACTAAACGGTAAATAGCTCAGCAACCACCTTTCAACAAGAGTTGTCTCTTCCCAATCATGCAGCTTCTGCACGTTTTAAGTGAGCTTTTAACCATGCAAGTAAAGACCGTTTTATCAAAGCTGGGCTTCCAACCATGCACTCCGTTACCAGTGAGGGGAGCTCAGCTGTCAACAGTGAGTTGGTAAAGTCGATCCAGTGTGAAAAGATTGTGCTACAGATTTGTTCATAAAGGTTCTGAACAGCTCTAAACTGAAAGGTGGCATGGGGTGTAAACAAGAGTGCTGCATTACTGCTCACTGGGCTGTGTTAGACTGTCACAGTTTTTAACATTTCAGCCAAAGCCATGCAGTGAAAATATGCTTGTCAATTTGGTATAATATGTTTTTATTTCATTTTTAAGTATCACTTTTGGTAAAGGTTCTCAGTTGACTAAAAATAATCTAACAATAATGGGCTTGTTTTATTGTTTTGATTGTTTGTTTTAATACACAGAATGTACCGAGGACTCCCTGGAAAGCAGCTGAGCAGTTGATTATCTTGATTAAATACCCCTTTAAACCAGTTCAGATGAATTAAAAATGTGCAGCCTTGTTAAAAAAAATAAAAATCGTTTTTATGTCTCGTAAACACAGACAAAGCAAGGTGTTGGGAAGCTAATTTGTGTATGTATTGTTGCTTCTTTATCATATTCTCATTTTGCAGTTTAGCACAAGGCTTTTTAAAAACCACTTGAGATGCAGATAATGACCTCAAACACTATTGTTCCCTCACTTAAAAAAATGCATTTCAAGTATATGAACAGGAGACAAAAGTTCTTCTGAAAGTTATAACTTTCTTTGACTACCGTTAATTAATGACTGAACAATGGATACGCCGCTGTTTTGTTTGAATTTTGTTCTAGAAGTGCAGGTGTTTCATGCACAAAGAAAGAAACTTGACAGATTTTGTGGAAAGTCCAGGATAGCATTATAGATTGGTAATATTGTGAAAAAACAACATCCTGATTTGAGCGGCGATTCTTCAGCATTGCGCCTCCCAATATGAACATGTAGACTACTTGTTAAAGCCTTGATTGGAAAGGTTTGAAGAGTGTCTGAATCTCATGGCTTTCTTTAAGACGTAGGGTTGTACATTAAGGCAAAATTCTACTGTATAATCATGGTTTTCTGGGGCTTTCGGACAGTGAATATTGTAGGCTACTTTTGCACTTTAACTACAGCCCAATACATAATGTAAAAAAGTTCATAATTGACCAAAATGTCAGATTAGCTGCCAGAATACTATGGTTGGTATGTAATTCCTCCCGTATAATTATTGTTGTGACTTTAATACCATAAAAAAAAATACTCAGTTCAATTATACTCATTGGGTCGGCCCGCCCCCCCGAAAGTCAAGTAAAAAAACAAAATATTTATTTTTGGGCTTTTTGTGCCTTTATTGTAGGGATAGGATAGGGGATAGAGTCGGAAATCAGGGAAAGAAGTCATTTAAGGATACCTTTCCGATAGAAAAGGACATCTGTCATTAAAAGTAACACATGGACACTAAGATTCCTTCAAGTGTTTGTGTCGTTGTGTCGTTGTGTCGCCGCGTCGGCATGTCGACTTGTCCACACCCCCCCCAACGCTGTAAACCTAGGGGAAACTTTTTACAGTCTATGGGGGAAACACTGATACTGTAAACTTAAAATCTCTGCATTAGGTACAGTGATGCCACCTAGCTAAACAGCTACAATTGTGCGCCCGTGAAAATTCATGTAAATAAACAGCTTGTCCCAAGTAACCAAGTAATATATATTGATAGTAAAGGAAACCAGATATTTTAACAAAAAAAAAACATGGTACATTTTTGGTATAGTAAGGATAGCTAATTGTCAGACAAGACAATGAAAAAATTAGCTTGGTAAGCTAGCTAGCGGTTACAGCAGCCATATTCAGGGTAACTAAATAAAAGTTGGCTGACTCACCCAGTTGTTAGTAGTTTTATCTGCAGCTGAATATATAAACTAATTGGTAACTCGTAACACTCAGCACTAGACTTATTCCACAACAGGGATTTTAACTTGTCCTGACAGAGCACAGGAGGAACTGCCAAACTAGCATGCACAGTACCAGGGCGCTGGAGGCTGAAAGAATGTACCCCTCGTTAGTCTTATTAATTCCACCTGTGCTGTCCCCAGCATTAAACGTCAAAATGACTGTCAGATCATTATCATCAACAGCTGAATGTGTAACCTGATACCATGCAAAATAAAAAATATGCATACATATTTATTTCATGTTCTTTTTAAATTTACTAGACCTACAATTAAAATGTATATATTTTGTTTTAGCTTTAAAGTTAATTTGTGTTTAGTAGCAGTGTATTTAATGTACTTGTGTAACATAAAATATATTTTTATAAGGATGGTGTGATCAATGTTCGACACAGACCCATCATGCATTGGGGCACATTTTAAATCAAGGTGAGAGAAAATGGATCCATTTTGCTTCTATTTGCAAACTTTTAGGAGCAGTATAGCTTTTTAAAGCAGAGTTTTAACTGATGTGCACCTTCTCCTGTTAAGACGAATTCAGCGTTGGCTATTAGTTTCATCTTAGTTATATCCCCACTCCACTCCCAGAATCAACCATAGATTACTGTAACCGGTATTGTTTGCATATCTGTACTCTGTCTGTTGATAGTCT